AAGTAATAGAACAACCTGTAATTTATATTGACCCACAGAAGGCCCATGATTTAGATAAGGAGATTGCAAAACAAAAGTCTATGATTTTTATTGATCCTCAGAAAGCTCATGATTTAGACCGGTATTTTGCTTTGCAAAAACTATATTATTATTCTGAGGGTCTTTATCAAAATACTAAGGGATTATAGGATGCTTGTAAAAAGGCAGGATATAACTTTTCACTTGCTATTGTAAAAAAATGGCTTGAACCTCAAAAAATGCATCAAATTTATCACCCTTCGCCAAAGAATATACCTTATGCCAGTTATTCTAAGATCTTAAAACCAAACAGTGTACATATATGCGATTTAGTTGAAATACCATATGATGAAGATTTGCTTGAGAACACAAATTTATCGGATGAAGACAGTGAAATATTTTATTATATTTTATTGATTATAGATTGTACTAGCAGATTCTGAGATTTCATTTTTTTAACGTCTAAAAACAGCTTAGAAGTTGCAGAAGCTTTTAAAAGTATATATAATAATCCTAATAACCCACTTACTTGGCCTCGATTATTGCAATGCGATGAGGATCGCTCATTTATGAATAATGTGACTTTATTAATGAATAAGTATGTCGTTAAAATCAGAAGAATCAAAGCTTGCTTCAGACATACCAGCTTAGCAATTGTTGACCGTTACGCTGGACTTTTTACTTTAAGAGTTTTTAAGAATCAGTATGCAATAGAATTTCTCTTATCTACTGGTGAATGCTGTAGAGAGTGTGAGCGATTTGCATGGAAAATTGTTGATAATATGAATGATACCCCAACTCGGTTAATTGGGATGAATCTTAATAGTGCTATAAAACTTGAACGGGTGTATTCCAAGCCATCGACAAAATATTATCGCCCAATTGGTATTGATGAAACACAGCTATCAAAGGGTACCACAGTTCAATTCTTACTTGCACCTGGTGAATGGGAAAATGATCTCTTTGAATGATGCAGGATAACAGATCCAATATGAAGCCCAAGCCTTTATAAAATTCAAAAGATTGTTGTTAGGAAAAATCCACCGATGCCTGTATTATATTATGTAGATGAAACAGGTCCTCAACGTCCTTTTGTGAGAGAAAAATTAATGCATATTAAGGAAAAGCCTATATTACCCCCTCAGTGAATCTTGAAAGATAACCGAATGCAATCAAGGCACTCTCTATAAAAGTTGGAAGATCGACAACACAATAAGGTATTGTAATAAGAATTATTCTCTCCTTAAAACATAATACTCTTTTTTTCCAATCCTGTTGAATTTGTACATCTAAATTAATTTGCTCTTGTAGGTGGAAAAAGGGAATGATTTGAAAATATTGATTGCCACTAAATTCAAAAGCCAAGTATAATTCCTTATTATATCCATCAAGTTGTAAACCTCCTAAAAATTTTGGTTTACGAGATGGAAATTTTTTATATAATAATTCTTCAAATATATATCGACATGTCCTTTCAGATATATGAGGGCAAATATTGCACCATTTATAATTTTGCTTCATATCTTTATAGGATCCTTTCCATCAATACTGATTTTTACAGGACTATAAATAAATATCTGAATTGAATCTGTCTTTAGCTATACATTCACCTTTGTGCCTTTTAGTATAAATAAAAGCATTAGTATCAATTTCATTACAATCTTGCATTTTTTTTTCGCAGTTACAATGTGGCTATAATATGATTTAAATGATTTTTATGGCTTGATATAATAAACCATTAGTGGTTTTATTAATTCAAAAATATAATAAACATAGATATATTTCCGGTGAGAATTCTAATTGTAACTAAGACTATCTATTTGAACTTGAATATTATTTATATACGAAAAAAATATTATTGTATAGTATCACTAATATTGGGCCATTAGTGAAATACTTATTATAAGCTTTTAATATATTTCGTAAGCCATTTTTTCACCTTTTTCTGGAAATATGCATCAATCTGCTTTTCTCTCTCATCTGAGTCTTTAATCTGCATAATCTTATTTGAACTTGGTGGTTGATACTTTTCATCTTCATTGATAAACTGCGCACACATTGCCATTGTCGCTCCTAAGTAATAATTAATATCTATTTCCATATTTTGCTCTTTTGCGATGTCTGCATACTCTATAAAATCGCCAATTCTATGTGGCTTCTTTCTACCCTCTTTATTATAGAAAGGTGGGCCTTTTGAGTATCTTCAACAATTTCATGAATTGAGCATGTATTATTTATATCCAAAGCCTCCCTTATAATCCTCTCTCCAATGAATTTAAAAAGCTGGAATTTACCTTGCTTTATAGTATCTATCCCTTTCATGAAAAGATTTTTCAGTTTAAAGTTTACTACATCTTCATGCCCAATCCCAAAGTACTTTTTTTTGCCAGTAAAGCAGATGGAAAATAATATCTCTTCGTATGCTATCTTTAGATAAGAGGTCCCACTTTTTATCCTAAGATAGGCATTTATTTGATTGCACAACTTTTTCATTACAACCATAATAATTTTGACCATTTCAGCCCAGTATGCTTCTTTGGAAAGTTCTTTTCTGGAGAAGGTCTCATCACATTTCTCGTAATATCTATCTGGGCAGGTGAGATACAAAGAATCAGTATCACCGTATTTTATCCCAAACTCTTTCTTTGTTACGAATTCTGCGATAAGATTAAGGTTGTATTTCTCTGCTAAAGTAGTTCCTCCAGCTAATGTATGAAGAAAGATTGGAGATTTTGAGTTTCCTGCTTCCCCATAAAAAGTGTTCATATATACCTTCAAAGCTCTTTGTTTCGAATCAAAATAATTATAATCGAAGCATACAAATGAATATTCTGAATTTAAGCTTTTTGGAACTCTTTTACCTCTTTCTTTAGCCGAACTTATCATCTTCCCAAGGCACTTTATTTTCTTCCCTAGTGAGGCAAGCTGAGCTTTAAGCTCTACTCTCTTGTTGAATAAATCCTTTAATATGATAGGATATAAACCCTTCTTTTCCAGTTGATTATCATGTTTTACACTCCAAGCTTGGATAGTACGGTTATTAAATGGAAACTCAATCTTATACAAGTTGTTTCCATTATTTTGCACAATATCAGCCTCTTCATGTGTTAGTAT